CTAGAAAAGAAATGTCTAAAGAGCTATTTGACAAAAAGTTTTTTATGTGATACAATGGTATTTTCTTGGAGACCCCAAAGTCCCATGCCATTTCTGGGGCAGCATTTTACAGCTAATTAGTTAGGAATTGGCACTGAGCATGGATGTAGTGCATTTCAAGCACAAGCATGGGATTTCACACACCTAACAATAGAGAAGTCCCCAGTTATAGACAGCCTTGGTTATTAGTACACTAATTAGGTACTAGAAGCATGGAATACTGTACAAAAGCTAGTATGTTAAATGACTTTATTACAAGATAGTCTTCCCTTAACTTTCTCCATTCCCAGAGTCTGATCATCCATGTCAGACCAAGAGAAAACACAAAAACTAAAAAATAAAAAAATAAAATAAAAAGAGAAAACAAAACAAAACCAGCTGGTTCTGTTCTCAAACTTCCCAATACTGAGACCCTTTAATACAGTTCTTCATGTTGTGGTGACCCACAGCCATAAAATTACTTTCATTATTACTTCATAAATGTAATTTCGCTACTGATTTGAATCATAATGTAAATATTTTTCCATGTTTTAGGTGACCCCCATATAAAAGGCTTGTTTGACCACCAAATAGGTCATTACTCACAATTTGAAAATCACTGCTATAAATGAAACAAAAAGCAGAGCAGTATCAATGCATTACAGTTCCATGGATAAAGAGCCTGTTTGGAGGCTTGAGTTTTTACCACATTTCACAGACTGTGCTATAACAGATTCTCAGGCTTTTTCAAGAATAACTTTAGTTGAAAATGCAAGATAATCAAACTCTTATTTATTGTAATTTTTGTTAACCCCTTCCAACCTCTAAGGGAACTTGAGAAACACGTAATTATGTTTCATTCCTTGGTCATTGCATTATCCAGAAGAAATATTTAAAAAAGGAAAAAAAGAACTCTTTTGATGCCATTTAACGTGATTTTTCTTTTTAAATCTTTCCAAAACTGTTTAGCTTGTTAGTTTCTATTTTTTAGGTTGTGCAAAATTACAAATTGAAAAATTTAGTATTGATTATAAATGCAAAGGAACCACAAGATAAAGTTCCCTGTTTTGTTAATGATATGATTTCATCATTGAATGGATGCATAACTTGACCAGGCAATAGTAGGGAAAGCATCTCCTATAGTCTCAGTATCAGAAAACTCCTCAACCAAACCTTGGGAGCAGCTTACTGCCAGCAACAGGCACAGCTGCTCTTGGTTTCTCCTAGATGGGTTTTTCTTGCTTGTGTTCTCTAGGGAGAGAGGTTCCAGAGTTCAGTATTACTGTCATATTTCAACAGGGTTGGATTTATTTTTTATTTACTTTTTAGTTTCAAGGCAAAGAAACTCAGTGAACAGTCATTCTTCATATCCCAATCATTTTCACTTCTCTTTTACTAGACTCCATCCTCGAGGACCTCATTCCAAATGTTTCCATCCTTCCAATACATCCTCTCCACACTCAACCTTTTTTCAACATAGTTTATCTCCCAAGTTAGACCAGCTTTCATTCTCAGTTAATCTCTGTCTTTTATGTGCTAATTCATACAGGAAGTCAGTTAAAATATTCAATGGCTAAGAAACAACAAATAATAGCAGATTGATTACAATGAGTTTGGAGTGTTGAGCTGTAAAACCAGGAGCAGGTAAAATCTTACTTTGTGGAGCATATGTGGAATTTGCATATAACACATATACTCATTGTCCTATTGAAGAATCATTTATATAAGTATAAAAGAAGATCTCTATAGGATTTTTAGATATAATCTTAGACAACACCCATGGGGTACCTTTAAAATAATTTAAAGGGGTGATCTTTTGAGTAATGATTATATATAGGTCCCGAGTAACATGCTAATGCTACCTGTCAATTATTATTAGTGTGAAACAAGTTATCAACCTGAATTTTATTTAGTGGCACAATGATTTCTATAGGCTCTTTACCAATAAGTTGTTTAAGATGTGCCTTTCTAAACATTATCAAGCCTATAATTTCTTGTAAGAAGGAGTAACAGATTGTTGTGGAAATTTTGGCAATTTGGGGGGAAGATAGGCTTTCTCTGTGTATCCCTGCTCTATATACAATGTTGGCCTTGAACTCTCATAGAGATCTGCCTGCTCCTGCCTCCCAAGTGTTGTGATTAAAGTCCAGTACCACCCCCCCCTACACCATTACCTTGTTGATAAATAATGGTGGAGAGGAAGGAATGAAGGGAATACTTCTATTAGTTATCATTTTAGCAGTAGAATTATCTAATAAACTAATATATTGCTCTGCTTTTAGTGTTGTTTTGGTGAAGTTTAATTGAGAATTTCCAGAAAGCATCTTAATTCATAAAGCCAAATTATCAGTAATGATATGTACATAAGAGTATATCCAACTGACATGCCCCATGTTTTTTTTGTAAGTAATTGACAGTATATTGTTTTTAAGTTGAGAGGATGGTGGAGAATTTGTTGTTGACTAATCATATAACCTAAATAACTAAAAGGTGATTGCTTTTGAATTTTATTTACCATAAAAGTTAAGAATTCATTTGAGTATTGATTAGATGATCAGGAGAGGAGAATATACAAAGACCAATACCTCAGGAAATTTAATCAGCACTGGCATAAAAGCTTTGTGTATGTAATATTGACATAGAGTGGGACTATTTTCCTTTCTCTGTGGAAAAACTTTCAACTGATATCAGGTTATTGGTCATTGATTGTTTAAAGTAGGAAAAGAGAATGCAAAAATCTTCCTTATCATCAGGATGCAAAAAACAGAAAAATAAGTCATTTAAGTCAAGTATAATAATGTAATGTCGTTGAGGAATCACAGTAGGGGCAGGGAGCCTGACCAGATTGTCCCCATTGTTTTCATGGTAGTATTTATGCCCACGAGATCATGTAACAATCAAAAATTTCTTTTACCTTTTCATGCATTACAAAAATAGGGGCATTTCAAAGACTGACTGAACGTTCCCTATGTCCTAGTTGTAATTGTTCTTGTGCTAGACTTTGGGATAGTTTGAACTTTTCCCCATGAAGGGACTTTTGGTCAATCTATACTGTGTCATTCCTGCTGTGAAGGAAAACAAAAAGCTAAGTACTGGAATAGCAGAGCCCTGGAGCACAAGTAGGGGTTATAAAGACCCACCTACCACTCCTTGGAACTCAGGTGTTGTAAAAGATGCTGGTCTGGCTGTACCTCAACAGTGGAAAATGCTGCCCTGTCAAGACTTGCCAAGATACTCGTTCAGAGAACTCTCTCTCTCTCTCTCTCTCTCTCAATGATCTTCCTGAGAGGGTCCAAGCAAAGATTACCGTAATCCAGTCTACAAAATAATTAACAAAAATTTATCTCACCTTTCATGAGATCTCTACATTAAATCCTATGTGCTTCCAATTAACAAGATCTTTGTTTAGAAAACCAAGGATTGAATTTTACAAAGCTGTATAACTATTGATCTGATTATCTTGCTCCTCTGGATCTTAACATAGACTTCAATAATTATTTAAAATGCTTTGTCTCAAAGGACCGAGAAGAAAACATGTTTATTTTACTCTCTCACTCATGGTTGCAACCCCTTGGGTGAGAAGATCAAACTCCTATTCCCTGCTTCTATTTAAGGAAAAATTTTCTTACCTCTATCGAGCATTGAATTTCTCTCTTTTTGTGTCATTTTTGGGGGATTTTCTACTATGATAGACAGCAGAAAGATCTGTGTAAGGTAAGAAGGCAGTTGGATTCAACAAGACTCAATAGTCAGTGTTGGTTCAAACTTAGAGAGTCAGACACTAGGTAGTTTATTTTAGGCAAGTGTAAGGACAGCACAATTTGGAAAAAAATATTGCCAGTGATAATTACATTAATCCCAAGTAATAAAACAAAGCTTAAGACATAATGACATCAAAACTGTGATGAACTACAAGTGACAACTTCCATAAAGATAGGTTCTATACATCAACTAAGGAAGTAGGTTCAGTGTAAACAAAGTTCATAGTAATAGTCTGAGGGAGGACAGATATACAGATTTACTGAGATAAACAGGCTCAAGGTAAGAGTCTAGGGGAACTGTTGTGACCTGCCTATACAGATAGCACAGATATCACCAAGAATTATCAAAACACATAATTTAAAAAAAGCAACAAGTGCTCTTACTGATAAGCCATATTACTAGCCCATGTGTGTACATTTCTAATGGAATATTTTAGGATTATATGCTATTGGTAAATCATAAGAATCTATTATGAAAGTATTTCTTCTTGGGTTATCAGTTCTATGACCTCATCCATGTGCATACATAAAATGTGTTTGCCCAACAAAGGTAGCTTTTAGCATTACACATGAGTTAGGGGATGCTTCAAAAGATGTAGCCTTCATTAACACAGTTCATAAATGTTGATGATCTGGAACTTAGTGATTTTTACTTGGTTTTCAAAGAAAACTATTAAAATTTAAATGAATATTTGTGCCCTTAAATTTTCAGTCCAAGTCCAAAATGATGTGACAGACTTTGATGATCCCCCATAGAAGACCTCATCCTCCCTGGGGAGCAGAAAGGGAATGTGATGGGGGCCAGTGGGGGAATGGGAGGATGGGAGGGAGAAGAGACTGGGATTGATATGTAAAATAAGATTGTTTCTAATCTACAAATAAAGAAAAACAAAAACAAAACAAACAAACCCAAAAAGTTTCATTCCAAAATGTCACAGATAAATTTTTTAAAAAAATCATACAGCTCTTGCAAAGAACTCAGAAAATAGAGGCTTTCCTGGATGTGTAAATAAAATAATCACCTTCTCAACTGTACCTTGGAGTGTTTTTGTAATTGTCCAGTAAGAACTAGGACAGACATTGGTGTGTGAGACACCAACATTCATTTCAGTGAAAGATTCAGTATTCCCAAGAAGGAAGATATAATCTACCAGTCTTTATATGTTAAAAAGTTCTTTAGATTGATTTTCTTATAACTACTAAAACAAAGGACTGGAAAGATCACCTTCTAGACATCTGAGCAACAATCATGTGATCCAGATCTTCTGAGTTGCCAGGATTCCTTTCATAATTACCTTTCAATCTGAAGTAAATAAATGAAACGAGGTTGATGATGAACACTATCAGCACACACAGGACCACACTAATATCTTCTACCCACAAAGTATCCAGTTCAAAATGTGGATCTGAAATTGGGACTGGGAAAATAGGAAAGAATCAGGACATTTTCAGCCAAAACGATGGATAGATTATGCATTGAAAGGTAGCTTTGCTTTTCAGGTTCCTGTTGCTCCATGCCTCCTACATGTACAAGAATAATGCAGAAAAAGTTGGCCTACATGATTTTGGAGATGAGCATGTTTTTGTTAAGCCTGGAAGAGGCTATAAGGAGACAGGTACATTTTCTTCTCAAGCAGTATGGCCCCTGCTCTTACTAGTCTGTCTGAAGAATACATGGTTAGATTATGCTTTTATCTGTTCTTATTTAGTACTGAGGCTCCTCATGAGTTCTGGCCCATATAGAATACCATGAAACAGATAATGCTTAGATGACTGGGACCTGTGAAATGGAAGAGATCTTAAAATTCTTAAGCATCATATACCCTAGGAAGTATCCTCTCTTTATTGTCATCTTCTTCTCTGTCTCAATATTCCAAATATTATACATCTTCCTTGATACCTATCTGTCCTATTTCCTCTGTCATCAGGGTATCCTCTTAAGACTCACTCATTGAAATCTAGATCTTGGGAAGAGGGAATTTTGGTTCCTCTCCATCCACCTACAGATGCACTCTCCAACATAAGACACAGATTCATCCATTGCATCCTTCTAAAGAATATCAAGTGAGGAATAGTTTCCTTGTCACTCCTTAGGTTTTGGACTAGCTCTGAAATGGGTTAAAAAAAAGACACACTCATAGGAGAAATGAATAGACCTCTTGTGGAATTTCACTGCTCTGGTGCAGTCCCCACCAGTCTGCAGGCAGGCTTTACACTGCACTCCCCTCCCCCACTGGATTCTGTCTGGCCAAGATCCACTGTGCTGCCCAACCACAGGCACATGAACATCTTCCCCTTGGCCAGCCCTTCCTTACAACTGCAGCAGACTAATGCGCACAGGTGCAAACCACAACAAATGGAAGAACAGGTATAGGCACAAGTCATACTGGTTAGAAGAAAAGATGACCAAATGCCAGTGTAAGAATACAATCAACAGACGGGGGTTGGTGGCTCACACCTTTCATCCCAGCACTCGGGAGGCAGAGGCAGGTAGATCTCTGTGAGTTCAAGGCCAGCCTGGTCTACAGAGCTAGTTCCAGGATGGGCTCCAAAGCCATAGAGTAACCCTGTCTTGAAACAAACAAACAAACAAAAACAAAACAAAACAGAAAAAGAGTAGTGAACAACTGCAAGAGCAATATGGCACCACCAGAAATCAGTGATCCTACAACTGAAAAACATGAAGATTCCAATGCAACCAAAAAAGAAAATGAACTTAATAGGTAGTTTATAAAGATGATAGAGGCTCTAAAAGAAAGAAAGAAAAGAAAAAGAAATCAGGGCTGGAGAGATGGCTCAGAGGTTAAGAGCATAGGCTACTCTTCCAGAGGTCCTGAGTTCAGTGTATAGAAACCACATGGTAGCTCACAACCATCTATAATGATATCTGATGGCCTCTTCTGGTGTTCAGGCAGAACACTGTACATATAATAAATAAGTCTTAAAAATAAAAATGAACCCATTTTAAAAATTGGAAGAAATCAATAAATCCCTTAAAGAAAGCAAAGAAAAACAATCAAACAGGTACAGGAAACAGTTTAATACTTGAAAACTGAGAGATAGAAACAATAAAGAAAACACAGAATAAATTCTGGAAATGGAAAATCTAGGGAAGTGAACAGGAACTACATATGCAAGCATCACCAAGAGAATACAACAGATGGAAGAGATAATCTCAGGCATTGAAGATATGCTAGAGGAAATGGATTCATCAGTAAAAAGATGTTAATCTAATAAATTCCTAACACAAAATAGGGATAGAAGAAGGCTCTGTAATTGTGGCATGTGTTCTCATGGCCTATTGACCCTGGACTGTAGTTCAGATAATGATCACTTTTCTTATACTAAATGTCTTAATGGGCATTTGGAAAGATGGGAGAAGACTTTAACAGGATGGCAGCCACCTCTTGCTTTCACATACCTCTTTGTCTTAGATGCAAAATGAGATTGACTCCTATAATTGCAAATATTGAAATAATGAGTAGTATCACAGTCTTTTTCCAAGGACACCTACCTAAAGAAAGAAAATGTTATTATCATTTGACATTTATCTGGAGGTACGTTACATTGAAAAAATACATCAAGAATGCAAGATCTATTCTCTCAGTGCATTTTAAAGCTGTATTTAAAAATTTTTATATTATAATACAACTACATTATTTCCCCATTCCCTTTCTAAAGAGATTATTTCCAGTGTAATTTGGGAATAACTGGAGAGGGGAATGCCCGGGTACAAGTGTAAAGGCTATTTTTTAATACTTCCTCCTTTATTCATTGAAGAGGAAAAGTTGAAGAATTATAATATAAGAGAACAGGTGTAAAAGAGATAGCTGTTCTTTAGGTGGGGAGATTTGGTAATGAGACCAAGCAGGCCCAGAGAAAGTAGCTAACTATTACTCCATCAGACTTGTTGATGGGAGTTGTCATTCTGTATATGTTTCTCATACTGGTTAATAAATAAAGACTGTTGGCCAATAGGAAAGGAAGATAGGAGGGACTAGGAGACAAGGAGGAGAAAGGAAGGAGTAAGGAGGAGTCAGGATGGAGAGCCTGGAGAGAACAGAACCGCCATTCCTCCACTCTCGGTAAGACCACGTGGAAATACATAGAAATGGGTTAATAATTAAGACAGAGCTAGCTGATAAGAAACTAGCACCTGGACAACAGCATAATATCAAATACAGAGTCTCTGTGCATTATTTGTGGCTGGTGGCGTGGCGGCAGGAAAAGACCAGGCTGCAGGTAGAAAAACCGTACTCGTTACAACTTGTCATGAGTATGCATTATTAAGAACAAGAGGTAGATCTATGTATTACTTATTATCATTTTTTTTCTGTTTGAAAGAGGCAAAGGAGGACAAGTTTGAAGACCTCTTAACTGCCTAAGACACACCGATTTCCATAATGTGAGAAATTATTATCATAGGGAGTGTCTATTCTGCTACAGAGGTACAGTGACTGTGGAGGTTTAAGTGAGTATGGTCACCATAGTCTCATATATATTGGTTATCAGTTGTTGGAATTTTCAGGAAGGATTAAGAGTTATGGTCTTGTTGTAGGAGGTGTGTCTCTGGGGGATGGCTTTGGGGTTTTAAAAGCTTTCCTCCATTCTCTCTCTCACCCTCTATCTTATTTGCAAATAAAGATATAAAAATGTCATCAATAAGAAGAGAACATTTATATCTACAGATTATTATCTAACATAGAGAGTGTTTTGAATTCATGGCTTTAATATAAGTGGGCCCTCCATAGACCCCAGCAAAGATAGGCTGGGAAAGAGCTGTTTCTATCACATAACAGTGTTCATAAGGGCAGGTAGAAATTTAAAAGTAAAGGGAGATACCTCAGAGAAATGCAGAAACATGCTTACCCAAATCCTCAGATGATGGATATATTGAATTATTTGGAGGAGATCTTGAAGACCTGGATATGCTTTGGCAACATAGCACTGTGACAAAAAAAAAAATTTTACACAAGTTTAAGAGTTTCAATTTTATTGTTGCATGTTCATCATACCTAGTGATCAATTTCTTTAAGATAATTTCTTTCAGCTATATCTTAAACATTGGCCATATTCCCCTCCAGAAATCTTTTGTCTCCTCCTCAATTTAGGAAACCTTTCCCCTGAGACAATCTTGCTTTTATGTTCACTTAACACATATTTAAAATTTTTCTTTGTATTTATGTGAATCCTAGAATTCACAAATGAGGAAAAATGTGATACATGAATTTCTGAGTTATATTAGTTAAAATACCAGTTTCTTACCAATGAAAATGGTATTCTTTATAGCTGAATAAAATTCCACTATGCATGCATACCTCATTCTCATATATTTTTATCTAGTCCTCTGTTCACAGACATAAAAATTGATTTTATACTTAGTTTTTGTGAGTAGTACTACAATAAATTGAGATGCACATTTTCTCAGTTGTATGGTGACTTGGATTCATTGGGAATATAAACCCAGTACTGACAATAATGAGACATATCAAAGTTCTAATTTTAAGTTTTTGACTTTTTTTCCTGTATGATTTGTCATTGGCAGAAGTGAACAAATAACAATCTCAGATACTACATCCACAGTAGGACAAAAAAAAAAATGTACTTCAGCAAAGCCTAGTTTTGTGGATCAGTAAGTTTCCTGGGATTACTTGGAACATGTCCGACTCAAGGTTAACTGTATAACTAAAGGGTACTTTCCAGTATGAATGGTGAGTCATAAATATTGCCTCCCTGGAGGTCTTTGCTCAACTTACAGGCAACTTCCACTAAAAATATATCCCCAGAAGTTGTTTACTGATTTTGTAAGCAATAATGAAGATACAAATCATGATATTCACAAGTTGTGTGAGCTTCCTGACACTTTTAAGTTTCCTTAGCTTCCTAAGTATTGTGAGTTTTCTTTCACTTTCTAGGAAGAAATGTTTCCAGTTAAAGAGAGCTACACAACACTCCATTCCTTTATTTAGCTCTTATATTCTTTCGATTCAGTTAAGTCATTTTCTGAAATTTGCAGAATGTTGTGTAAATGTCAAATATTTTTCATTATGGCTGAGCCTTGATCAGTATAACAAAAGTCACTTTCTCAGGATTGACAAGTTATAAGTCTCCATAGAGACTACAAAAGAGAAAGTTCTCTTTACATTCTAGTAACAGAAGTGCTTTATTTGTAGAAATACTCATGTTTAGGATGAAATTTTGTGCATACTCTACAACTGCTTATCTCCACAGCATTGTTTGGTGCTATGACAGCCAGCAGTCAGAGAGGGAACTTCCAGCTCTGTCCTATCCTGATTTTTATGTTGTGTAACCAAAGGGTACAGTATCTTTAACAACAGGTATCATCATCTGGTTTTGTCATAACCAACAGCAGTAGAAATAGACTTTGCAGTTTGTGAGGACTTAGGACTTCTTTGGCCTCAGAAGCTTTCTAAAGAGTTAGTTCTTATGTGATAATGGGAATTTCATCTAACCTCCTTTTGGCTCCTAGCAGTGTCTTTTTTTGGTGGTTTTTACTTACACATGGGGACCTGGAATACTTGCTTTTTGATAACTATAAGATATTTATGAGTTAGCCTTACACAATGAAACCTCTTTAACAGAGCACAGATAAGGTCTTTAAAAACTTATTACTGTCTACGTCAAACAAGAATTACTTGATTCTAGAGAGCTAAATGAACACTAACAGAGAAAAATGTGGCAGTATGAAACTTGCGTGAAAAGATCCTATCATGTATATCAATCATTTCATTATAAAAAGAAATGTTGATTGTAGCATGGATTTTAATTTGTCTTAATAATAAAAACACAGAGTCAGATATTAGAGGGTGAAAGCTGAACAATCAGAGAAGACCAGTCAGCCAATAGAGATTTGAACTCTATGAAATCTTTAGACCAAAATAGGGAGATGAGCTCCTGTGTCTGTCCTGCCTTATCAATTCCTCTCTCTGCCCAGTCATATCATTTTCTTTTTCATCCTCCCAAGTGCTGGGATTAAATGTGTGTGTTACCACTGCTTGGCCTCTATGGTTAGTTAGTGGCTAGCTCTTCTCTTTGATCTTCAGGAAGCTTTATTTGTTAGAGCACAAACAAAATATCTTCACATTTCTTCATTTTTGTCTAAAATAAAATAGGTTATAACTAATATAAGAAAAATATATACAACAAATACAATAACTACATGCAATATATACAGGCAATAAATATGTCAAAAACACCTAGTCCACTTGCATTTGACAAATTCAGAGAAAATACTCCATTATCTGTCCTATTTTAGTGAGTCCTAAGGTTATATCTAACTCACTTTTTATTCTGACTTGTATTACCAAAACTATCTTTTATGTCTCTCAACTTTATGCATTTACATTACTTTAGTGAATTTATTTTCTGAATATGGTAAAAAGGAAAACTATAACTATAAAGTCTTCAACTCCATCAGAGACCCACGAAGGAAATAATATTACCTGGATATGCAAGAAGTACAAGCAATTGACTTCCAAAGATTTTGAGAAATGAGAGGAAGAGCTGGCTGCCTGAACATTCACCCAAGGTTCCTTTGTAACATTGGGGCATCCATCCCCGACCTACAGGCCTAGTATATCTGACAGACAGTTCTGTGAAGCTGTATATTCTGAAAGACTGTTCTACCTTGTGGAAAAGTTCAGCAGTCACTTTCTTTTGTGTTCTGCTTGTCCAGTTTGGACATCATACTATCAGCAGTTGAGGCAAGTACAGTCTCTTGCACAGTAGATTATTTTTGCCACAAATAAAGTAACTCGATGTGGAGTTTTGTCAATGCCCATTCTCTTCTCTGAAGTAAATTGGTGCTGCCAGGAGCAGACATGTCTCATTGTTATAAAACAGAATCTATGTTATTAAATATCTTAAATGCTACTTTCTGTAGATCTCTGAAGTATTTGAAGACTGTCTATCTAAAATATATCTGTTGGTCTTGAAAATACAATCAACATGACTACAAGTTTAATTGTAATAGGTGACTAGTAACTTGTATTTCTTTATATCCTAATTACTTGGTAATAATAACTTTCAAGGACTAGAAATTTGCATTACATTGTTAAATGAGTTGCATAGGTACAATACCATAAACAACAGTACTAATATATGGACAATGTATGCTAACAAAATTAATATCAAATTTTTATTAATATAAAGAGATGCATATCAATTAAACAGGTAGTTGCTTTTAAAAGTAGGTTCATTAATCTACCCTTTTATCCTATTTAACTTATTCCCTCCTTCCTCCTGTGACATTGGCATTGCATATTGACATGTTCTCATCCTCCCTTTGTTTCTGTTTCCTTGTCATTTCTGTGGCTAGTGTGGAGAATAGCAACATCTTCATGTCTTCCCCCAATATACTCATCCTTTATTCATGTGAGAAAATTCTTCCTGGGCAGAGAGATGAGCCTCAGTTTCATGTATTATCCACAACGAAGGCATGTGACTGATAATAGGACTTTTTTATGAAAGTAGCATGACTTACTTTCAGAGATTGTAACATAGAGTCCACCAAGCATTTGAGGTGAAGTTTCAAACTGACATTAATGAATCATTCCATCATATGCCATGTAATAGAAGATGTCTACACTAAGAATATCCTTCCCAAAGGCCGCCTTTCTATCATGTACCTTAGCATTGGTTGAAAAATTTATAATGATTACTTTGGTCACGTGGCACTACAGAAAAGAGGCAAATCATCCTATACCATAAGGGAAAAGATATTGATACTGACCTGAATAAGATGACTTGCACTAAGAATGATCAGCTTCAAATTGACCATTGTATTTTCTAGGCAACCATTCCTCCCAAGCTTCTCTGGGTTAAATAGACAATGCTCCAACATATGTTTCTTGTAAAATGAAACAGTATTTTTGCTCATTATAATATAAAACATATTATAGGTATACTATAGGATTGGTCTTTTTGTAGTCTCAGTTGAGTTAAATATTAACAGCTGGCTTTGGAGTTGGAGAATGGTTCCTTCTCTAAACCTAATCATGTTTGTTAAAGTAAAATATGTACTCTGACTCAGGTCAGAAGAGCCATCTGATATGGAACAGAAGACAAACAAATATTTAGGACTGTTGTATTGCCACTAATATAATTTTTTGTCATTTTGTGATGATATTAATAGTCATATAGTGTACTAATCAATTCTAGAAAAGTTTCTTTTGTCTTCCTTCATATTCATATACATGATTTCTTGTTCGAATTTCTATCGTTTTTTTTTTTTTTTTAAACAGTGAACCATGACCACGCCTAACAGTAACTCTTGGAGTCTACAAAGGGAGGATGGAGCCCCACAATGACAATTTCACTTGGACAATCACAACACCATTATGCTAAACAACACAAACTAAAGTTTAACTTTGAATTAAAAACTGCTCATAACAATTTTGAAGTGACTTGCTGAGATGATGCAGCCTCACAGATACTGCTTGGAACAGTTTTGAGGTGGCTAGCTAAGGTGATTCAGAGTACTTTAGCATCTGAAACAAATGATACAGCTTGACAATCAAAATTTTCTTTTCAGGATCGCCTAAAGATATTGCTGCCCACAGACAGCAGGAAGTACTTTAAGAACATGGCACCCACATTCCAAAGTGGTGAGATGGGTGGTTTTTGGTCACTCTTTGGGATATGGACATTTACCATTATTTAGGGGGATTGGTTACAAAATGTTGTTGCTTATGATCAGGAAGCAAGTTGAACAAAGGGGATTATATTCAATGTTTTATTTTGACTAAAAAAGATAGGAATTCAGGTATGGTAGTATAAAAAGGGTAGATTACTGAATCTACTCTGAAAAGAATAAAGGGAAGATATAGAGATGTTGGGATGAAAAGGTAGATTATTGAATTTACCCTTAAAAGCAACTACTTGATTTAAACATTTTACATTGGTTTAGATTTCTGTATATAATATACAAATGTTGTATATTGATACAAACTTGAGATTAATTTTGCTATGTTTCTAATATTCTAGGTATTGTATCTATACAGCTCATTTAACAATGAAATACAAAATTCTAGTTCCTGAAAATTATTATTACCAACTATAAAGACAATTAGGAAATGTAATTTAGTAATTAGTCAACTATAAC